TTTTTTTTTTTTTTTTGAGACAGGGTCCCGTTAAGTTGCTTAGGGCCTCACTATGTTGCTGAAGCTGGCTTTGAACCTGAGATCCTCCTGCCTTATCTTCCCAAGCCACTGGGATTACAGATGTGCGCCACCGTGATGGCTAAGGATGGCATTCTTAGTTGGATGTGTGAAGCCTGCCAGCCTCCCTGGTCCCCAGAGCGCCAGCCGCACCAACCTCCCTCGTATCTCTGGATGCTCCCTATTCTTCTCCGTATAATGGTCTTCGCACGTGCCGTTTGCCTGCCTAGTTCTTTAAATCCTACTGTTTTCTGGCCTGGTTCAAAAGTTATTCCCTCAGCAAAACCTTCCTTGTCCCCTCCCCTAACCAGCCCAGGCAAGATCGGCTCCTCATCTGAGACCTGCAAGAGCTGCTCACTTCTCCATAGGATTTGTGCCTCTGCCATTTTACATTTACCTGCACAATTAGCTGATTAATGTCTGCCTCCTCTCCAAACGTGAGACTCTAGGAGACAAAGATCATTTCTGGGTTTTCTCCTCACTGTATATCCCCAGTATGCATCAAGGAGCTGGTGGACGCATCTGCAAACTTGGCTGTCTAACCTCACAGAGGCTCAGTTACTTCACCTAATAATAGTAATTATTATTATAGTCGCAGCAGTAATAAGAGTTGTAATAATAATAATTACATTGGCAGCTCTTAATAGAGTGCTCAGGACGTGCCAGGGACTGTTCCACTAGCTTGATGGGTTCTGAATTTTCCAAGGATGTCTACACGTTATCCCGTTTTCCATATTGTTCTCACATGTGTCGCTGACATCTCTCTCATTCCATGGTGGTCCATGTTTCCTCTCCTTGAAACAGAGTGGACCTCTGAGGCTACTTTGACCAAAAGAGCACAGGCCAAGTGATGCTGTGTGCTTTTTGACAGCCAGGTGATAAAGACAATCAGCCTTCTCTCGTCTCCTTCCAGAAATGCTCATCTTGGGTCCCAGCTGCCATGTTGTGAGGAAGCCCAGGCCACATGGGGAGGCTCCATGTGGATGTTTCAGACTCTAGCCCAAGACCCAGCTGACCATCAGTATCCAGTGATCAACACGTGATAGAACAAGGTTTAAAGGTGAGTCTAGCCATGGCCACCACCTGACTGCAACCTCATGAAAGACCTTGAACAAGATACTTCGCTGGGCCAGTCAATCCTCATAACAAAGAGAATAAAGTAACTATCATTCTTCGTTTCACAAGATGTAGAGATCTGGGACATGCTATCAACTCTCTTAATGCTCACATCACCCCCAGGAGGCAGGGGCTACCATCATTCTATTTTACAAATAAGGGAAGTACAGGGGAGTTAAGTACCTTTCCCAAGGTGGTACTACTTCTGAGCAGTGGTGCCAGAATCTGAACCCAGGCACTTGCTTGAGACCATGCTTTAATGGAGGGAGGACAGAAACAAAGAATGTAGTCCAGCTAATACTTCTGTTTTCACGTTCTCATTCTGAAGTTTCATTTCTCACAACTTCCCTCAGGGATCAGCTATACTCATTTGTCCACTGATTCAAGAGCCTAAATATTCTGGGGTGTTGGGAAAAATGGACCTTTGATGCCCTTATTCTGAGCATCCCTTTGTCATAATTAAACACACCTTGCACATGAGGGCAGAGTCCCCAGTGTTCACAGAGAGAGCTGCACTTCTGTGTATGACCTTGACCTCATCAGGAGCAGTAGGCTTCCTAAGCAGCTCTGTGTTCCTGCTACTCATCTATGGCCACCTGTGATTCTTCACATACTTCATGGATGTCTCCCTGTGCCTGAGCGTGGACGCTCCTAGGCTTAAGGAAGCACAGGAGCATGTGGGAACACCTCAGCCAGGTGAAGCGCCACTTCCCTCAGCACTAGGCATTACCTGCAGTCTCTCGATGATATTCCGGTAGTCTCTGGAAGCTGCCAGAACAGAGTCTCTGCGAGCGGCATTGCGGGCTGACAGGCGCCAGTTCATGGCCGTTTTCTGCACAATGTTGTGTGACTTCAGGAAGAGGTTGTTGACTTGGCTGTCCAGGTCCACAGGAATGGCAATGGCCCGGCTCTTGGCTGCACAGGAGAGAGGACTTGTAAAGGCCTTACCCCTCATCTCCCGTCAGGCAGATTGTCCATGCCGACCACATGCCAGCTTGCATGGTATCGAGGGTGAAGACTGAACATCCTGACACTACCCCACCATCTTTGTGGCACTGTGGATGGAACCCAGGGGTGCTTCAGCACTGAGCTACATACTCAGCTTTTGGCACCAGAGATTGAACCCAGGGGCACTTAACCACATCCCCAGCCCTTTTTTATATTTTATTTGGAGACAGGGTCTTACTGAGTTGTTGAGATTGACTTTGAACTTGAGATCCTCCTGCCTCAGCCTCCCAAGTTGCTGGAATTTCAGGCATGTGCCACTGTGCTTGAATCCACTTCACTATCTTTTAGGTTTGGGCTTCCCAAGGTTCTGGGGATGGGAGCTCTTCAGAACACTAAAACGATCTCAGGTCATCAAGTTTGGGCAAGTTAGGGTTGACCGATTCATGGGTTCCCTCCATACATGCCTTCTTCAGTGCACTAATGTGTTCTTTTATTTTAAGAATCAAAACAGGGAACTCGTTTGGCCAGTGGATTATTTTTCTAAAGATTCTCTTTCAAGTTTGTTGTTTTACACAGCTATCCACAAAACGCTGATGTGAGATGAACATCACACAGGTGGCATTCACGATGACACATAAAACTCTTTTGAGATACTCTTCTTTTCCCTTCTTAAAAAAAAGACTAACTTGGACTGAGGTAGCTCAATGGTAGAGTGCTTCATGTGAGGCACTTAGTTCAATCCTCAGCATCACATAAAAATAAAGAAATAAAATATAGGGATTGTGTCCAATCTACAACTTGAAAAAAAAGAGACAAACTTCATGCTGGGCATAAGGGTGTACACCTACAATCCCGGAGGCTCAGGAGGTTGAGGCAGGAGGATGGCAAATTCAAGGTCAGCCTCAGCAATTTAGTGAGATCTAATCAACAACACCCTTGTCTGAAAAAACATAAAAAGGGCTGGGGACGTGGCTCAGTGGTTAAGCACCCCTGGATTCAATCCCTGATACAACAACAACAAAAAAGCAAACTCCAATCTAATCATGAGAAAAACATCCGTTGATCACCACAGGAGACATTCTACAGGATACTAACCATCGTTGGCAAGACGGCCATTGAGAAACAAGCAAAGAACAAGAACAGCCACAGACCAGAGGAGATTTGGAGAAATGACAACCATGTGCAAGGTGGCAGCCAGGACTCGCCCCTGGCATGAAAGGACATTCGTGGAAAAAACTGGTGAAATCCAAACCAAGTCTACAGCTCAACTAAGAGCCGTGCCAGTTCCTTGGTTTAGACCAATGTCCCCTGGGAGGTGCTGGCCCTGGGAGAACTGGGTGAAGGGTACACAGGAGCTCCCTGCACCATCTCTGCAACTTTCCTATAAATCTAAAAATATTCCTAAATTAAAAGTTTATTTAAAAAAAGGAAATCGAGACGGACAATTCTGGCTGCTCTATGGGAAAACCTCCAACATCAAAACAGTGATTTCCTGTGGTCAGGGCTTCCAAATGTCAGAAGGAAAGAAGGTGCTCTATTACCTGCATCTAATCCAAGGAACAACTTTAACATCTTGGAAGAAGAACCACAGAAACAACTGTTTAAATTCTTATAAAAAATACACCACCTAGGGCAAGAACTATTAGCCTTTCAAGAATTTCCTAATGATTGAATACAGAAAATGAGAAGTTTGGAAGCAAGATACAAGTGATATAAAAATTAAGAAGCAGGACAGGACACAGGATTCACTCATCTCAGCTAGAAATCCTATGCTTCATCACGAACTTGTAGCACCTAGACTTTCAAATCTTCATCTCTTACTGTGAAACACTGCCACCTAAGTAAGAAGGCATCAGTACCTACCATGAGGGAACAAAAGAAACCAGGCAACGGGTCCTAATAAACACGATCTATCCTTGCTGAACAGGCACTCAAGAGTGCCAAGACTCCTTTGCAGGGACCTAAGTAGCTACTCCGAGGTGACATCCTTCTCAAGAAGAGGAAGTCTTACCCCCTGCACACGGGTCTTATAGGGTGGGAAATGGGTACACGGCAGGCTGGGTGCTTAAGCAGATCTCACAGGAGGAGGAGGACAGTGGTCATTAGGGGCTGGCAACGGCAAAGGGGAGAGACAGGTTGATGCTAGAGTTAGATGGGAGGAAGTAGTTCTAAAATGTGCTCTAGCACACAGCGGGGTGACTACGGCTTACAACAGTTAACTGTGTGTCTCAAATTAACTAGAAGAGGGTCACCTGAAGCTCCTACCAGAAAGAAAGCCTCATTCTGCCCACGGGATCAGTACATACTGTATTATGCAAGTATCAAATAGTCACACTGTATCCCAGAAACATGTGGGGTATCAGGTGGAAATTAGAGAGGTTTTGTTTTGTTTTGTTTTTTGGGGTACTTGGGATTGAACCCAAGGCCGCTTAACCACTGAGCCACATCCCCAGACCTTTTTTATATTTTATCTAGAGACAGGGTCTTTCTGAGTTGCTTAGGGCCTCGCTAAGTTGCTGAGGCTGGCTTTGAACTCGAAATCCTCCTGCTTCAGCCTCTGGAGCTGCTGGGATTTTATATATATGGGAAGGGAGTGTTGCTTTTGTCACATATGGAGGCCCTGTGTTCTGTCCCTAGTACTGGAGAGGAGGGGACCACTAATAACGTCAAGAGAAGTAATTTTCTTAACTTTTTTCTTAACTTCCTTCAAAGCCACCCATGAAAGGTGACAGGAGAATGGATAGGGGACAGAGGGCCACTTATCAGAGAAGGGCCAGCGGGAAGGAGCGTCACTTCTGAGAAGGGATGTTCCTGGGGTTCTGACCAGTACTTTCCAGGAAGAAGGGCTAGGACGTGGTCAATGTTTCTGTTGGATTAAACACGCGAGGGACTTCCCAGGGCCTTCAAGAACCCACCCGCCCTGAGACTTGCCAAGAACCGCCCCACACTTGACCACGGACTCTTTCTCAAGACCTAGCTTACTTCTGGAGGTGTGGCTCTCACTGCAGGAAGTGCTGGCCTGGCAGATGAAAGGGAGGCCGAGGACCCAGGAGACCTTTTCAGGGAGGCTCTGTAGTGTCACTCTGTGCAGCCTTAGGAGGCCCGGGGAGGGCCCAGGGCAGCGGGCGACGCCCATCACCCCATCGTCCACACAGACATCTCACATACATCCAGAACACCGGGATCCCGTCACCCCAGACATCTTACCTACGTCGGAGAGCACCCGGATGCAGCTCTCCACGGAGGCCTTCTGGCTGGGCATCAGCCAGTTGCAGTGGTAGACCCGGAACACGCCCTGCAGCAGCTGCACGAAGACAGGCTGGCGAGTCTGCAAGAAAGGACAGGAGGGGGGGGGCACGGGGACAGGGTGACTCTTTGGAGGTCTCCAATGACCTGACTGGAAAGAGACGCTGCCACAAGCTAGTTACCAGGCCCCAAGGAGGATTGGGAGGTTCTGGGGCCAAAGCCCAGGGTTCCTGCTCTAGTTCGGATGTCCAACATCTCCCAAAAGCCCACACATCTTGGTCCCCAGAGTGGTGCTGGCTAGTGAGGCCCTTAGGTCACTGGGGACACTCCCTTGATAGGGGACTGGGGGAATCTGGTGTTTTCCTCGTGCTCTTTTGTACCCTGGCTTGCGATGAGATGAGTGGTTCTGTTGGACCACATCCTCCTGCTATGGCCTGCTGCTCCCCCAGGCCCAACCACTCACACACTGCAACTTCCAGAACAACGAGCCCAAATAAACCTTTTCTCTTTATAATTACCTCAGATGTTTCATTAAAGTGACAGAGAGCTGACCAACAGTGCCTACCTGAGAAGAAACACTGAGAAGCATTTGAAGGCAGTGATAAATGTGATGTCATCTAATGGAGTCTGACCACAGAAATGGACAGTGGAATCAAAGTCCCAAAACTTGTCCAGTTACCAGCTAGCTGTGTGACCTGAGGCCAATGACTGCATCTCCCTGAGCTTTAGCTTCATCCCAAAGTAAGTGGATGCGGGCAAATTAACTCCAAAGTTAACTTATACTCATTATATCCTGTGAGCAGAACATATATATTTTAATTGGTGAAAAACAAACTGAGAAGAGAGTGAATGACAAGTCTCTATTTCTGACAATATCTTCAATGTATAAAGACAAGAGAAGTCTGATGGGTATTCTTCACTTACTAGGGAGGAATACTCAGAAGTTAATTGCATGGGAGGATTTATCCCTCTAGGAAGAAATAAATTTGTGCTCATTCTAAAGTACAAGACCCCAGACATCCACTCATTCCACCTCACACTGATTTTTCTGAATGTATGGAAAGTTTGTAAATTTTGGTCTCCATCCAAAGGAGGCTTTGGGCCTTCAATGAGAAGGCCACTATAAATGGGGAGCTGCTCTGCTGGTCTTTGCTTTGGGAGAGAGGACTCACAGAGCCCCTCCAGAAAACACTGGAATTTAATATAACAAAGAAAAAAAAAACATTGAAAACTCTGAGCTAAAAGAAAAACAATGGAGGGCTAGGGTTGTGGCTCAGTGGTATAGTGCGTGTCTAGAATGCATGAGGCCCTGGGTTCGATCTTCAGCACCAAATAAATAAATAAATAGATAGATAGATAGATAGATAGATAGATAGATAGATAAAATGTGTTATTTAAAAAAAAGAAAAAGAAAAACAATGGAAAGTGCTAGGGGGTACAAAGGAAGTCCATTGTGCTGGGTGTGGGGGTGCCACAAGCTTGTGGTCCCAGCAATTCAGGAGGCTGTGGGAAGTTTGGGGCCAGCCTCAGCAACTTTAGGGAGATCCTGTTTCAAATTACAAAAAAAAAAAAAAAGGGTCAGGACGTAGCTCAGTGGTATGGTGCTCCCGCTCGTTTTTTTTTTTTTTAAAGGTATATTGCAAGAAAATGGAACATTAATAAAATATTCAGAATCTCCCCGATACCTCAAGCCATCCAAGACAGGAACACAGGGAGGCTGGGAAATTGGCCAACAACCCTAGTTTTAGCCCCTGAGCTTTGTGGCTCCTGAGAACTCCAAGGACCCAAGGAGAGCGGCCGCTGGGCTGCACCCCTGTCCCACCTAGCCTTGCCAGGACCCTGAGGAGGTGAGTGGTCCCACAGGTGCTGGACGTGGGATGAGAGCCCGGCAGCTTGACTCGGAGAGAAGCATCCCCTGACCAGTTCACTCGAGTGAGCCAACATTTACTGCACATCTGCTTGGTTCCCTTTGACATCTGAGTAGAGACGAGATGAACAGATGGCTCTGAAGACCTGCCTCCTCATTGCTCAAAAGCCATGGGCACTCTGGGGGCATCAGCTCACTTGACCTCTTATGCAGAAGGGCATGACTGCTGCTATGATTTGTTGAGTGTCCCAGTAGGGGCTAAATGTAATTGAAGGCTTTTCCCACAAGGTGGTGCTATTGGAGAGGTTGGAACCTTTGAGAGATGAGGCCTAGTGAGAGGTCTTTAGATTATGGGGTCTGTCCTTGGCAGAGATTGTAGGACTCCAGTTCCCTCTGCCCTTGCTGCTCAAGTTCAGCTCATTTTGCTCCTAAATTCTCCCAGCATCCTTACCAAAACTGAGCTAATCTAAGTACCATGTCTTTGAACCTCTGAAAACGTGAGCTAAAGAAACCTTTTCTCTTTATAAGTCAGTTGTCTCCACCATTTCACTGTAGTAACTTGGAGCTAATACAGCAGCCCATCACCTTCTTCCAGGCTTTAACAAGGGACATAACACTGAGAATCACTGTGGAAGGGTGCAGAGTTGTGCACTGCACAAATCCAAGAAGCGCTATTGGTAAAGAATTCCATGGGAACAGTGCATGGGGAGCTGGGCAACGCAGCAGCCCTGCTGTCGCAGCTCATCAACTTCTCATTCTAGCCACACAACGCTTCGGAGTAACTCTCCATGTACATTCCAGCTTACCAGGGAGAGTTCCAGGTGTTTGGGTTGTTTTAAAAAGAGGTGATAAGCTAGCAGCTATTTAACAGGTTCTTCTCTAAGACTGGAAGGAGGGAAGGGAGCACTGACAAGGGGAAAAGAGATTTTAAGGAAAATCAAAAAATAACCAGGCCTGGAGACAGAGCTCAATGGCGCTACACCAAACAGGAGGCCTTGGTCTAATCCCCAGTTCAAAAAAAAAAAAAAAA